AAAATTTGGGGGGGGGGGGGGTAGCTTACGGTGACCCTTCATACTTGTGAGCCTTTTTAATGGACATGGACAAAAGAATAGGTAAGCTTAATTCAGAGGAGACATCTAACAAATGGACTTTTTGTCCTTACATTCTAGATGTGCAATTGTTTCTCTGGATGTTCTAAGTGTGTTATGGTCATAATAAGGCTCGAGGCAGCTGACAGTTTGCCTTTCTTTGCTCATGTCGCACTATGAATCTTATTCAGATAATATTATAATATATTATTTTTCTTACCTGCAGAATGAGAATGAATGTACATATTACATGAGAACTGCACAATGCAAGTTTGGAAGTACTTGTAAATTTCATCATCCCGAACCTTCTAACATGATGGTCTCTTCACGTGGTTCTCCTGTTTATCCTCCCGGTCCTTCTCCTACAACTCCTGGTCAGATGTCCTATCCCTTGTCCAGAGCTTCTTTTATTTCTGGTGCACGCTGGCAAGGTTCTTCAAGTTATGCTCCACTGCCAGTGCTTCAGGGAGTGGTATCTTTTCCAGGATTTACATACAATGTAAGCTTTGCCATGATTCCTAGCATTTGGTTGTTATGTCTAATTGGAATTTTGGAATATCCTGCTTCAATCTTGAAGAGTTTTTAGTCTGGATGCGTTTTTGGTATGGGTTCGATGTTCGCTTTGTTGCCTTGTCTTTTCGCTGTTGTGTAGTTGTATAATTTTGTACTTAAAGTCTTTTAGATGTACTGTAATTCCAAATCCATTATCCTACCACTTTCGTCTCCTAAACCTTCTTATTTTTCCCAAAAAGTTCTGTTCTCAACTTCAATCTGCTCCAAAATCATCCAACCTCAACAGAGAATTGTGATGCCGTCTTTGTTAGGTGGTAGAGCAATACTTGTATTTATATATAAATAATTGTAATTCCTGGGATTAGATCTGCTTTGTTGGTCTTGAGGATGCTGTTTGTCTAATCTTACTAGTGGCTGAGTTCATTCTTCCTTGAGTGAATAACTTCTGGGGTCATTTAGCTAGTCTTTGTGTCCTTTTTATTCCATTTGAGTGAACAAATTCTGTTCTTGTATACAGATTTTGTGAAGTAGTTTGAAGAAGATTCTGCCTACCTTTATAAATTTATTAGAAATAGTAAAAGGTTCCTTCTTACAGTATTATGGTTTTAAATATATCTTGTGGATTGACTTATCAAATACTCTCAAATAATATTTATATTTATATTTATATTCGTATTCGTATTTATATTTATATATCTTTTCTAGATTATGTTTTACACTAATCGGAATGATAATGGGAATGTGGTTGGCATAAACAATGGGAATATGTCGCTCTTTAGCAATATCCCTTTTTTAATAGGAGATGTAACCTGGATTGGAAAGGAGAGCCCTCTGAGCTCAAAACAAGTAGGAGTCTTCACAAATTCAACTAATGTCTTTGTCTTCTTATTGTTACATATTCAAGCAAAGGTGTTGCAATCACATATCCTCACAGTTGTCTCATATGTTCTTGTATTGAACAAGCTTGTGAGTGCTGTATCCAATATGTGGCCTGATACTTGCATTGATTCTGAATTTGCTTAGAGATGGTTTTTTCTAGGGTCAGCTCGGCGCAGTTTCATCCGCTGAGGACCAGCAACAGACAGCAGGAAACAACCAGGTTTATGGGAGTTCACGTTCAAGTGATAAAGCAACCATGGGATCAGAAGGAATGAATTCCTCATATCGTGCCAGTTCTTTACCTGTGGGGTATTATGCATTGGAGGGAGAAAATGTTTTCCCTGAACGACTGGGCCAGCCTGAATGCCAGTTTTACATGAAGACCGGAGACTGTAAGTTTGGTGCTGTTTGTAGATTCCATCATCCAAGGGAAAGGCTCCTTCCTCCTCCTGATTGTCTGTTGAGTCCTATTGGTCTCCCTCTGCGCCCTGTGAGTTAAAACATTTGCCATCTGTTTTAATATCTGCGTCAGTTTAAATATTAGTTTTCTATCTAAATTTCCATGCTTGTTGTGTGTCAACTTTTTAGTTTCTAATATGATGCCCTTTCACGCAATTGCTTATTGACGCTGATGTGGCTTATGTTCTGAAATAGATTTAGACTATTCCCGTTGATGGACTTAGTAGTTGGATGCTTTTCATTCTGATAAAGATGTTGGTTTAAAATTTTAAATTGGTCTAGAGATTTTGATTCTATATCATGCATGAAAGCTGGATTGATCAAATTATACGATTAAGTGGTGTCTGTTTCTTTCTTATATTTGGCGTACTTTTCAACGAACTATGGAAAGGTGGTCTCCGCAATTCTCTTTTCTCTACTTCTTTTATTCGTGTGTGAATTCATTCATAAAAGAAAAGAGTATCATTAGCATAAAGGATACATGATATATTCAACAAAATGTACTTGTTTCCAGATCCAACTGAAAAGCTACTAATCCATTGAAGGCCTAGGCAGTATTGATCATCTAGTTTAAGCCTTCCATTACCAATTATAACAGAAATGGAGACAAAGGATCACCCCGTCTTAAGATTTTTTGGAGCTGGGAAGATTTCGTCAGTGCTACGATTTATCAAGATTTATAATTGGACTCAAAAGATGCAAGAACTAATCCAGTTCATCCATCTCTTTCCAAAAACCATGTTGTCAATCAAATTTATTAAGAAACTCTGATTTACATAGTCATAAACCTTTCCTGAAGTCCAATATACATAGAATCCCTGAGCAGCCATTTCCGATCTGTCTATCCATTGAAAATGCTTTCTGAGTATTAGAGATCAACTTAGCAGTCACCGACTTCAACCTCGCTTAAAAATATCTTCTATGCTCCTACTGGATTGATGGGCATGTAATACCTTAGTTCTTCACTGTCATTCTTCTTTAGGGCTATATATGAGGCATTAAAGGATCCACTCTGGTGGAAGGAACTAGACATTCAAGATCTCTGTTTTAACAACCTCCCAACCTTTTTGGAAGAAAGCTAACGTGAATCCTTCTAGGGCAGGAGCCTTGTCCCCGTCAGAATCCTTGACAATAATCGGCATAGTTTTTGATAATCTCTGGTTCCTTGACAATTGAAGCATTCAATCTCATCTGTCTTTTCTTGAACTCTTTGTTTGCCTTTTTCTGTTATATCAGAATACCTGGATTTACATATTAGCTTATCGGTATTCTGTGTGAGCTTTTGTACCTGCATCTGTGCTGTGGCCACTTTGATCATTATTGAAAAATAACAAAGAAAAGTAAAGAAGTAGAAGTAGGATAACGATTAAGTTGAAATGGGAAGGCAAAGTAGAATTGTTCCTGCCATTTCGTTCTCTGAACTTTTTCGATAATCATGGGCATTGATTGTGCTGAATATTTTTTCTTTTGTTTTGTTTTATTACTGTTTTCTAGGGAGAACCAATGTGTATTTTCTATTCCCGATATGGGATCTGCAAATTTGGACCGAGTTGCAAGTTTGACCACCCAATGCGGGTTTTCACTTATAATATCTCAGCTTCATCTTCTACTGATGATCCTTCTGTTCGGCGTCTGTTGGGTTCATCGTCAGGAACTGGTGCGTTGACTTTGACTTCAGAAGGGATTGTTGAAGCAGCCTCCACAACACCCAGGCGATTATCATTATCAGAAACAAGAAAGATGCCACCTGGTGATAATAACTTTGACAGAGAGGGATGATTTTGTCCTGAACTACCAGCCAGCATCCTCATTTCTATAATTACTACCTTTTTGAAAATCAATAACAGTTGCCTGTAGATTTATTTTCATTGTTGGATATGTACAGCATCCTTCAAAGTCATTTTGTTCTTCTGAATATGCATTTCAGTTGACAAGGTTGACTTGTCACTTTGTAATATGTTAAGTCTGCAAACAATTGGTGAATTAACTGTTTATTTATCATCTCCCAAGAACCCTCTGCCTTGTTTATCAGAAACAATTTAACCTCCAAATCTCCTGTATGAAGCAATGTTTTCTTTGAAGGTTTGCATCTATCTCTCTGGTAGACGTGCTGATAGTCGGTAAATGGAGGCCATGATCTTGATGCTTGCTCATTTGCCTCGTAGTTGCTTTGCACATATGTTGGTTATTCATTCTCTAGTGTTTTAAAGCAATTCTATATGTCTTTGTAATTAATTACTATCCATTTGCAGATTTCTGATAATTTATTTGCTGTCTCTCTCTCTCTGCAGATGTACTAGTATTGCAGGTTTGTCGCAAGGCAAATTCTGGTGACTGCAGAACATAATTCTGTGAAATTAAGGGCTCTTGTGTTCTCCTCAGGTTCAGTGTTATCTGGTGCATAACATTAAATGCATGGAGCTGGGATTATTAGAATATTCCTACTTAAACAAAGACATGGTATGTAGGGAGGTAAGACTGTATGCATCAGAGACACAATATCTCTTTTCCCGATATGCGGAAGCTTGTTTCACAGTCCGCTATGACTTGATAGTAGTGAAGTAAGCAACGAGTAAAGACATTTATTCAGCAGCCATTCACATTAGGAAAACTGTTCAGGATGGTAAAGGTAACTTTCTTAAATTTGAAATTCTGTCTTTCTATCTTCTCATTGCTTGTTGTGTATCTCATTTTTCTTCGTTGATCTTATGCATATTTATGTCTCAAAAACAGAGTGGAAGTATTCTAGAAAGATCATACAAGTTCAGTTTCTATAACTATGAAGATGGATTTCCCTTTCTTAGGTATCTCCTAATGAAATAATGGCATGTTTGTACAAACCTGAATACCAGTTTATACTGCGTTTTATATATGCATATAATTTCATATGATAGGGTGCAAGATTACTACAATTGTCAGCCAAGAGGCTCTGCAAAATTACTCCAAAGAACTGTTCGAGGTACTTCATTAAAAAAGAACTGCTTTAGGTATTTGTGCTGGAATGACAACTTATGCAACTAATTATCACGAAGCTATTGTTCTTTTTAACTGCAGTAATATAGCCAACATTTGTGCAATTAATTAGTTGGAAGCTACAGATTTCTGATGACCCATTAAATGTCTAAGAGGTTTACCTTACGAAATGAATTATGGTCATGATGATAGGTAGTAGTTTCGTGTTTTCTACCAGTTAAGAAGTATTAACTTGGAGTAAAGCCCTGTAATTTGATCGAATCAAAGGATGATTTCCCCTGAAGATGAAAACTGTAATGAGTCTCGAACTCTCAGGTACAAGTATTGGGATAACTTATTATAGAAGTCATTACCGACTTCAACTAAACAAGAAAGGGACTATATTGGTTTACTGGTGAAAGATAAATGAAAGTTAAAACTACTTCCCTTCTCTGATCCTTGAATCTGTTGATAAAATGAAAAAGTACTGTGAGTTACACCTGATGAAGCATATGCTATTTCGTGATAAGAGCCCCTAAAACGTGCCACCAGAGCTGAAGCACCTAAAGTATATAAAGATAGAAGTTGTCTGTTACTGTCCTACCCCAATTACGTGACCTTGTTTGATTAGAGCGTATTATCTCTTTAATACAGGTTCTGTTAGTGCTGCTTGTGTTGCAAACCAAAGAGCTCAAGCAGCTGATGTTGGTGATCAAAGTGCGCAATCCACTGACACTCTTATTGCTAAGAGCAACATAAGCCTCAGGTCAGATGTGAAGTACAGCAACTTCAGCAATTGTGCTAAGAGTCCTTATGTTCAAATGACTTTTAGCTGAACTTGGGATAGGTATTTATGTTACCTATCAAACAAAAGAATAAACAACGAAAAGAAAAGAAAAGATAGGAAAAGAAATTTGTGTTTTCTTTTTTTTAGAAAAGAAAAGAGAAGAGAAGACAATGTATTTTTGTGCTCATTTGTCAAGCTCGATAGGCTAGATTGAGTATATATATATGGAACAGTTGGTGTTGGCCATGTAATGAGGAAGTTATACATTTACTTGTTCCAGGGTACGAACCTTAGTATTGATTCTCTCTTAATTCGTCTGTGAAGTTAGATTATGGATGTAATTGCATAAGAATTTCAATGTAATGCAGATACTATAATACGGTGCTTAATATTGACTGGACTATTATAATTTGTTATTGGATGTTAGTAAATCGTATTAAAATTCTAGATATGCAATATATCATTCAAAAATATGTTTGCTCTTGAATTGAATAGATGCTTGTATCAATTATCCTTTTTAGTATTGGTTTTATTATCATATGCAATTAAAAATTATCAGTATAACATAATTAGGGATCTAAATTAAAAAGATTGATTGTGTTAATAATGACTGTCAATTTTTATGAGGAAAATTAAAATGACATACACAAACGTATGAGAAGAATAAATAAATAAATAAATATTACATTCCACCTTTAAATGTGAAAATTTTATTTGAACATTTCCTTATTAGTTTAGACCAATACTATTAACATTATTTAGATGGAGAGATTAATTACTAAGAAAATGATTAGCTAGTCAAGTTGTAAAGGTTTTTTTTATCCATTGCATGATCTAATACACATTACTGATACATGTATGAAAAATATTTATTCCTAGTGCAGTCAACTAATAAATATATGTTATGTGTCTTATTCGTGTGTTTATCATTTAATTAATTAAATGTATTCTTGCCTAAATATATAGCTTGACCCGAATAAACTGACATGCTTTGTTGCATGCATCTTGGTCTAAGGTTTTCTCCACACGTTTATTTCTATTCCTTAGTGAATTCATTAAAAATATAATATTACCAATTGCAATATAACTAATCAAAGATCATTAATATGGGGAATTAAAAATAGCATTCAAATGTAGGATTAATATAGGTATTATTTCCAATTACAAATCTAGCTCCCATAAATGTCAAACATCCAAGAGATGTAAGATGGTATTACATGTTGATTGCTGAATAAGATAACACTCTCTTAATTCATTTTTACTAGTCCATTATATTAAAAATATATTTTCATTTGTCCATTTTAACAAATCAAGAGAAAGATATTTTTTTCATATTTTACCCTTATCGTTAACTACTTATTACTCAAATCATTTTTCAAGATTTTTTAAACTGCTATCATTATTATGGGTAAGATTGTAAAATACATACTTTATTTATTTTTGGCAGAATAGTTCGGGAACCCCTAAACTTGACAACTTTTGTTTAGTTCCCCCTTAAACTTCATGTGGTCATTAATACCCCCCTGAACTTGGCAATTTCATAGCCTCAGCCCTCTGGACGCTAATAATCCATGGGAGTGGCACACGTGTTGCCACATGAAATTTTTTAATCCATGTGGTATTTTTTTAATAATAATATATATATTTTTATCTTTTTAAGTCCACCAACTATTTAAATAATTTTTTTCGTGCCAAAATCTGTAAAAATAAATAAATAAATTGAAACAACGTTAATTTGACTACAATTTTTTATATAAAGATAATGATATTTTAATTAAATTACTTTTACATATTTGGTCAGGAAAGGAAGGAATATGTAGTTAGAACATATTATCATCGCATCTAAACAAACGTTGTTGGAACTCCATATATTGTCTAAATAAATATTTTAGCTAAAAATAGTAAAATTGACAAAACACTTGCGAATTTGACTCTAAAAAGGAAACGCATAGTTTAAATAAATAGTCATTGCATGAAAAATAAATACACTAATTTTTTCTTTTTGTAGAAAATACACCATTTGAATTTCATTACCTTGGCTAAATTTTCTTTTAATTTGGCTAAAATAAATGGAGTTTCAACTAACTGTTGTAGTTTTGGACCGAAAAAAAAGAGATAAGAAATACATAGTTGAAACATATATTCATTGTATCTAAAAAAATATAATTGAGATAAAATATGCAATGTATATTAAGAAGAAACAACGATAAATACAATTGGAACAAATAAATCATTATATTTGATTATGTGGCAATTCATATTTAAAAAATATCTTACTTGGAAGCTTATTTTTCAATTTTTCTTCCCTCCCACATGCTTAAAAGAGAGTGTATTCACGCTCTTTGCCACATCAACATCTAAGGGGGTCGAGACTATCAAATTTACAAGTTCATGGGAGTATTAAAGACCACGTGAAATTTAGGGAGGACTAAACAAAAGTTGGCCAAGTCTAAGGGGTTCCGAACATTTCTGCCTTTATTTTTTTCTTAAAAAGGGTGTAAAGTCAAAAGTTTATGCTGATTTTTCAATTTTTCTTCCCTCCCACATGCTTAAAAGAGAGTGTATTCACGCTCTTTGCCACATCAGCATCTAGGGGGGTCAAGACTATCAAATTTGCAGTATTAAAGACCACGTGAAAGTCAGGGGGAGACTAAACAAAAGTTGGCCAAGTCTAGGGGGTCCCGAACATTTCTGCCTTTATTTTTTCTTAAAAAGGGTGTAAAGTCAAAAGTGTACAAATAAAAGTTAACGTAGGGAGTACATATATTACCAGACCCAATATGCATTTGCTGAATTTTCAGTATGACAAACAAGACTACTTAAATTGGTGGAATTCTTTCCCATAAAATCCTGATTTCAAAGTTTGACTTCCTGTTAACAATATCAATCAACAATTCCTCATTCCACCCCCAAAGCAAAATGAAGGGACAAAACAAGAAAACTACACTCCACTAATTCTTCATATTTCAAAGAACAAAAAGCTCAATGGTAAAAGAAATCTCCTTCTCCCATATAACTAACTAGTTGAGACAACATATGCAATAAAGGTAAAGAAAGGAGTAGTAAATCTCAAAATCGGATCCAGACATCTGAGTGCACTTTAGAAAAGAATGTACAGAGCAATCCATACACTTGAAGTAGACAAGGAAAACACCCTGCAGGTGCAGTCTACTGTCTATCTAGTAAGGCCACCAATCTGGCTTCGTCACCATGATCTGATTATACTCCGGCCTTGAAGTCTGGGAAAAGAAGAAAGAACATAAATTCTAAAGACAAAAGTGTATATGTATAATTACTAAACTCGGAAAATGCATATCAATCTTGCATTAACAAAGAAATAATTGTAACTAACTAATTCATATTCTTTCACGATTTTGAATCTCAGTTACAGGACCAATGAGATTTCAAATGAGACTATAAACAGAAAAGCCTCATAAGCTGAGTCTAATTGACATTGAAACTCTTCCATCCTTTTGAATCACAATGCTCACCAATCTCCAAGTTTTCCTTGTTATCACCCCTAGATTTTCCAGAAATACTTTTGCAGCTGTAGCTAAACCATCTCTAAAGTCATGGTTGGATCTGGATAGCCAATTCTAAGCACTGATGTAGCAAGAGTGTAACATCAAAATACTTTACTCCTCCAAATAAACAACTACCTTCCGTCCCAAAAAGGTTGGGGACAGAAAGGTAGGGTGAAAAATCCTAATTATTACTCTTAACATCATCCCAAATTANGGGGGGGGTAATTCGGAAACTTCGGGGCGTTTGCTTACGCGTAAGTCCTAACGTTTTGGGCATTCATTTGGGGCATAAGTCCGGAGAACTTTCTTAAATTTGAGCTAAAGTTACTTAGTAATTTTTTTTTTAACCTAAACTAAAAAAACTCATAAGTTAAAGGTCTTTTCTAATTGTTTATCCTAATTTCATAATTTTTTCTCTTTGTCGTTTCCAGAGTAACAAATACTCTTTCGACCTTTGTTTTTGTCCTCCAACACTTACTCTACTTCCTCGCTTGCAACTTCCTTCTTTAAGCTTTATTTTGTTCAAGTTTTGTTTTTTTGTTGCATTCTTTAATTTATTCTTTTCAAGTTAGTTTTTGGTTTTAGATTTTTAGCACTCTACTTTAAATATTGTTTTAAAGACTCTACTTCGACTACTGTATTATAATGAGTATTTGTGATTTTTTTTCCAGTTGTAGGTTTTCAAACAACTTTATGTTATTGTCATTTTTATTCTTTGAATTACTAGGAACTAGAGTATTAACTAGATATATACATTCTTGAATTTTCTACAATTTTAATGTATTTTATTTATTTATATGACATTAAAAATTAAACACCCACAAGGCTTACCCCTCGCCCCATGTTAGATAAAACGCATGCCCGATCAACAAAATAGGTAGGGGGAATTAAAACTAGTATGGACTTGCCACAGTCACCCATAAGTACTTCTCCATCCTGCAGTCTCCTCACTCTTTCTGAAGCCTTAATGTGCCACTAACTATTGAAAAGAAACGGAGGGGGGAAAAATTTAAGGACCTTTTTTCTCAATAAAATCCTTGGAAGAGAACAAGGATGAACAACTAGAAAGCTCATTGAAGGTCACACATTTAATGTAAATCCTCTCATTCCCACTTAGATTTTCTCAAAAATTTATTTTTTCATGTTTCTTTTTACAATCTCAATACTTCCTTCATTTTTTTTCTTTTTGATAAGTATCTCAATACTTGCTGCCTTTTATGTCCCCTAAACAAAAAGAGCCAGGATGCTGCATAAACTAATATTCAAGACCATCAGCTGCCTAACTTCACGTAGAAGAAACAAGCACATAATTCTAAAATCATTGCAACACTGACCATCGGATTGTTATGTCCTCAAATACACAGTTTGAGTACTCTGCTTTTCTTGTTCTAGCGGGTGGATGAAACCGCAAGTTAGAAATTTCGGGAAAGCCGAATTGAAAAAAAGGAAAAGCGGAATATCAGATGTTCCTACTTGCCTGATAATAATGTTTTCTAATGACAACCTTTTTTTTTTCATTTGGCATACACTGACAGATACATTATAAACGGTAAATGTCTATATCTTTTCCCCCACATAATTCTAAAAGGTCTTCTGACTGTATCTTTGTTTCTAAAGATGATATGTTCACGTGTTCATCCATGTCAAACACAAAACTCATGTTAAGTTTTGCAGCTCATAGTCGATGTTTACAGATATGAACAATTGGTTTAATCTGATAGAGGGAGTAGATATTGTGTTTGGAAGTGAATATAAGTTGAACTGACAAGAAAACTAATTTAGCTCCATTGGTTAATTAAAGCCATTTATTATGAGATAGCTGCAGTTGAAAGGGTAATCTACCTGAAGTAAAACAAGGTAAAGCTATATCAACAAAAACTTTTACAACTATGCACTACTATAAGTCATGTTTTCCATTCCTCAACATGATATTGGAGCCAAACTCACTGATCCTGGTGTTTCTCAATGTTAAGCCCCCCTATTATGTTATCCACGTTCCAGTTGTCC